CTCCGACCAATATTGGCCAGTACAATCGCCTGCATTTTAATTATTACATGTTGCAACATAAATAACAAACATAACAACCAATTGTACGGGCGCTGGGGTATACTGTGACATCCCTGGAGCATGCCGACATTAGATAGAAATTTTATGCCTCCAACATAGACACGTACAACACTTTTGCTTACATACTTCCATAATATACGTAGCAATATGGAAGTATGTAGGCTTGTGTGATCTGGGTATGCTTACTACTGCAATACAGTGTTGTATCTTGTTTGTAGTTACTTCGATTGCACTTTGCGAAATAATAATTGTTCACAATTTTAATGCAAGTCGAATCCATAGAGGGTTGAAATTAACCACGCAGTCTTGGTGGGAGTTCAAGTGGAGTAGACTATATCGAGCACAGGAGTCGTATGCAGTCGGGAATTAAACACGTTTTGGGATTTGTTCCAATATGTTTACAATGTGTACCAGCCTCTAACAGCAAAAACAGTTAACATGAAAAGCAGAAATGTGAACTTTAAAGTAGACAAGCAAACGAACAGAGAAACGAACAGATACATTACTAAGACGGGTAGGCGTATTTGTGTAGTAGTCACAACGTCCTGAGCATTTAACCAAGTCAACAGTTAAACACAAAACGGAAAGGAAACGGCATAGGAAAATGGTTAAAACAAACAATATCACAAAACAAATAAAGCTGTTATGCTAAAATGCCAAAATGAATCCAGTGCCAGGAGAGGAATTTTATCCAAAAACTGCTAAAAAACAAAGCAGGAAATACTACGATATGGTAAAAGTGTAAAGACACGGAATGGTACGCCCGCAGCACGGATTAAGAAGAAGCTACTCAACTCGCAAAGGACACTTTAGCAGTCATGACCAAGTGGGATTTCATTTTTGTTTTCATATTTGCTTCACTTTTTCGAATACTTGTATTTAGACTAAGAAAATAATAATAATGGGGGTTGTTGACTTCATCCATGCATTAGCTCGACTTAAGCTCTAGCATGGGTGTTAATAAATGTGTTCCAACATCTGTAAATAGACTTTTCGGGCATATGCGTATTATGTGCAAGTGCTGATGTCCTTTTTTTTGTGCTATTTTTATGGAAATGTGCAAATGTGCAAAAATGAGGCTAAGAAATTTGCAATTTTTATGTTAAGTAACTTTTAGGTTGACACATGTACTAGTAACCGTAGCAGAATGTTAAAAGAGGTTACTTTTAAGTACTTATATGTTCTTAATAATGCTTTAAATTTTATATGACTGCTCGGAGTTTTCACTTGATGGATAAAATGAAATTTGTTATACGATGAAATAAAGTAGGGTTACGAAATGCTTGCAGCAAAATATGAATGTTATTTAAGAAATGCAAAAATTTTTATAAATACTAAAACAATTGAATCTATTGTAGAGTATGGAACATTTTATATAAAGAAAACACTTATCATCTTTTTGTCTTGCATTTCGTTCCTATTGCATTTAATATATTTATATTAAAATACAAATGTATATATTTATATACATATATATGTAGTAGTAGTAGTAGTAGTAGCTTTATTTTTACTTCATTTTAAAGTTATTATATTACATCGAAGTTATATAATAATTATAATACATATAATTATAATAAATATACATAAAGCTTACAGCTATGGCATTTTAGCTATGGCATTTTTACATATATATGTATTTACATATATGTACGAGTATACATATATATATTTGCATATATATACGAGAATACATATATACATTTACAAATATATATGAGTATACGTAATATATATTTACATATATACGATTAGGTATATACATATGTCAATAAATATATTTATATGTATTTATACAATTATAAAATTATATTAATAATTATATTATCACTAAAAGCATGACTATCCAACAAAATGTTCAATAAAAGATTAACAACCATTGTGTTGAGCTCCATTAAAATAGAGAGACTTTTTCTTTAGAAATACTCAAACTCTTATACATAAGTATGTAAATAATATATTATAACAAATTATATTGTATTATTTTTTATAATAGATGATTATCACAATACTACAATAGAGTTTGTGAGAGGTTGCACGCAAGAGGGGAATACTTGCTGCTCTTCTTTATGCTGTATTGTTGACTCTCATGTAAACGCTCTCATATATAAGTCCCTCATATATTGATAAGGGACTTATTCTGATCTGGGGACAGTCAGGAAAAACAAAGACAAAAGGTATATGTAAAAAATTTTCGGACGAGATCAAGAATTAATGCAAACTACAGTCTTTTTCATTAAATCCTAGTAAAAAAGCACTTACTTCTTGTAAAAAAGCGCAAAAAGGAAAGACTATAACTTGAATAAGGTGACATGGGAGACTTTTGTCGAGACAAAAGTTTTACGTGCACTAAAGATATACTGGTAGTATAGTACAGATTATAATATAATTGCACAAAACTGTGGATAACTCCGAGGCTTCTTCTCAAACCTGACTGTATATGAACTTATGTCAAGGTATCACCAAACAGATAAGTATTATTATTAGTAACATTCTTAATGACAAATTATACCAAGATTTAGACCCTAAGGCAGATAATGTTGTACATGTATAGTACATATATATTTGCTTTCTTGTTGTAGTGGCACGAAACTGTGATTAACTTCATGGCCAGTGAGTTAAGTACTATTATCGGTAATATTCTTAATGCCCTGCTTGATTTATTTCTCTTGATTTTTTAAATCAAAAAAGAAGTGGTGATATTGACTTTCAGCCTTCAAATAAATGGAGTATAGAATGGCTAAGCGAATGTAGGTCATAGACAGACACACAACCAGCACTTATATCAATAAATAATGTTTTTGATACCAGTGGATAATGTTGAGTGCACATTGCTTGGACAAAGATATGATGTCTTATTCATAGAACGGGAACAATGTTTAAGTCTAGAGTTACTACTCAGGAAAATGAGAATTACATTTTGTAGTTACAGTTTTAAAATCTTTACTGGTCTACACTTATGCGGTATTTGGAGGACGTAGTAAACTATTATTTTTTCACCAAAAATACGACGACAATGGAAAATAAGAAGAAAATACATCGACAACTGCTGCAACTGTCAACATCTTAATCTCATGTTAGAGAGACAACTTAAAGTACTCTAAAGTACCCTATAATACTTAAGAAGAGTACTTTAAATAATCAGAAACATTTTTATGTCACTTAGGTGAATAGAAACGAAGTTAATGTATTTGATGTGTCATTCTTTAATGATATCGGTACAAACACTTTCCTTAACCTGGTAAATATTAACAAATGTTGCGAGTATTTTTTTGGTACTCTAAAAGAGAAAAATGCAGCTATTAGCGAAGGTTCTATGCTAATGGATGACCTCAGTATAGTATGTTAAATACACGCTTTTAAACAGTTTTGTTAACTTTGAACTTCTCTTTATATAATGTATTTATGTTACGAGTATATCTATCCCTTTCATTTTTTGTGTATTCTTCTTTCAGTAACAAATTTTGCCTAAAGACATTATGCCTGTTTCGAGAAAGCTTCATTGTTTGCTTAGTACTTCGATAAATGCACTTCAATTTCTAAGTAAGTGAAAGGGCAAACTTGATGAAATGCAATTTTGAAATGAATTATTATGGATAAGAATGTGTTGAAAGGATTAAAGCACCAAACTGAACTTACCTTACTTTTACTGTATACTTGTAAGTATTTCCTAAGTAAGAAATTATTTGAGAACAAATAATATCTTATTTCCGACTTAACATCTTTTCTTTTTTGTCTTATTTTGAGAGCAGTATTTTCTATTATTTATTTTACGAAGAAATTAGTTTGCATAAAACTGAAAGCATAAACAAAAAAATGTATCTTTTTTGAACTTTTGCCATTAGCAAATTACAGTAACGTTTCAACTGCACGCAGTTTTAGTACTGACTGGAGCTACTGCACTGCACTAAATGGGATTCTAAACCAAACTTTTGTGACATTGACGATAACCAACAAGCTAACAATGTTGCATACACTTAATTTGAAAGGTTTTACGTGTAAATATTATAGTTTAATTAGTTTTTTTTTGAGCACCCTGCAAAATTAACCCTAAAGGATTAACTGCAATTTCATTAGTTTGCTTTACTGGAGTTGAACATTAATTTTGGTGGTAAAAGCGTACACCTTGCGATATGGTTTGTTAGTGTTATTCAAAGCGATACAAATACTTATGAAATTAATTTTTAGTCTTATTAAGGTTAGTGTTTTTCTGCCACTAGAAAATTAATAAAATATATTAAAGTACTTGTTATTAGATACAAAACTGCACGAAGTTTAAGCGCTGCACGCATGCATACAGGTACACAGGTACTGCAGTGTACTTGAATTATATACGCTATATATTTAATGGGTGCACAAGCAATGCTGAAGTTTTGTATCTGCACACTTTTATAGTTGCTGTCAGGAATTTTATTTCACTGGAAATTTGCAATTTGCAATGCAACATACTGAATGTAACTACGGCTTGCTACGGCAAGGTATGACATTTACCATGAACATGCGACATTAAATGGTAGATATATTCTCCGAACATCATAAATCTTGCCTGGTATGTAGTAAAATTTGCATAAGTAAAATTGTTGAAATTGCTGCAATGTGCATGCGAAAAGATAGTTTTTGGAGTGTACAAGAGATATGTAAATAGGTTTATTTCGGGCAATTTGTACATATGCATATACTGCTTCGAATTGTGGAAATACCAAATTGTCAAGCTGTTAACTGCTTTATAAAAAGTAATATTTGTATGATGGTGAGCTTATAGTATAAGAGTTTATTTTTAGTCTCGACTTGCTGCTGTGCTCTAAAGCCACAGAAATATGATACAAATATGCTATGATACAAAGGATAACATTTTTACTGCCTTCCCAAAGTTAACATCTGTTCATGGATTGTTATTTCATACTTGAAAATAGATAAATATTAATGTTAAATTGTTTACTTACGATTTCTCTTTGCAATTTTGCTATATTGAAATTGGCCTGTGCTAATCGCACACTTAGTGTTGCCACGTCACTGGTTAATTGTGCTCGTTCGGCTGTATTCCGATCGACTAACTTCAGCAATTTATCCTCTAAGCTTTGATTGACTTTTTGAACACGTTTATGCGATTCATAGAGACGGTCATATTTATCCTGCCACGCTATGACGCTATCCTCCAATTCGACTTGTCGGTCTGATTCGCGCAAACAGGCAGTCTCCATGGCAACCAGTTGATTCTGCTTCTCTAGTAAGGCCTGTTTCAATGCTTCAATTTCTGTAGCCGCAGCATGTAAATGCGCATCACAATTGCTCTGTAAGCAAGAAAAAGCGGACTTAAATAAATCCATTGGATAAAGTAAAATGGCTGACACAAATCCGTTAATAACACGAAAATCTTTTAACAACGCAAACAAAAAAAAGACAGAAAAAAGAAAATGAAACCAACTTACCCTAAAAAAAAAATTTTTTAAAGTCCAAACAAAAAAAAAAATAAAATAATTTTTGTTGTTATTTTTATTGTTAAAGTCCTTTCATGTTGTTAATGTTTTATTATTAATTTTTAGTTTTTTTCTTTATTTTTACAATTTATTTTAAAAGTGTTTTTAATACAACTACTCAAAAACATACAATAGACACTTTAATCCCACTTTGTACATTTCAGAAAATACTTCGTCAAAAAACTTTTTATACAAAAACATTTCAGCGAAAATGTGTAGAGAAAAAAATAAATAAAAACAATTTACAATATACAATTAAAGGGAAATTGTTTTAAAAACTCTGCCTGCAAATGACAATTATACGTTGCAATTAGAAAATGTTGGCAACGCCAAGAAGCAGCATAAAAGTACCGTACTGAGTCGAACCAAGCCTTTCTATACTGTACCGTGCCACAATTCACCGGACAACCGAGACGCGTATTAAAATCTATTAAACTAACAGATTTACTGTAGCAGACAACAGTATGAAAAAAATTGACAATATGTACAGTACCGAGCAGCACCAGCAATACTAAAACAACAACAATTACAAATTTTTTTTAATGAAGTTTTTTATTTTATTTACTTCAAATTGTATAAAATTCTCATTGTCAACATCGAGCGAAAACCCGAGAAGAGCAGCAGTAACACCAACAGCAGGCAGCAGGCAGCAGAAATAGCAGCAACAAAAAAAGTACAATATCAACATTGCTGCCAACATCTTTATCATCATTAAAATTATCATAATCAAGTGTCGAGAATGTTTTTATTTGATTACGGGGGTTGTTAGCCAAGTGCAATAATTCATTTATGCAGAAAATGGAACGATAATATTTATAAAATATTAACTTGTAATAATAAACTATGATGCAAGAACAATGACAAGAAGGGTAAAGATAGGTTTAA